TTTGTCTAAGGTCAGAGAGTATTTGTCTTACTGTTTTATTCAATTTTATGGTGATAATTGTGTCTTTGAAATTGTTTAAAATATTCTCAAGATTTATATGAGGAAAACTATAAAAATATGATGGTGTTCAAAAAATATACATTAAGGGCTGGTGTAAATTACTTCTCTTTATTACAGTACAATCAATAAGAATATCAATGGTAGTAGCTGGTATTTCTGTCATATTGGAAGTCACTATACTCTTCATGGTGCCAAACTTTCAACTGAATATATCTGTAAAGAGATTATAATCATCAGTTTTAAAAACACAGTTCATACAACTTTGAAAAGCCTTGATTGTGAGGGGTTGCAATGGAAGCCAAGAATTTAGAAACAAATTTCTTTTTTACTTGTACACTTGTACAGTCTTTAAATTTCCTAAAAAAAAATTCTCAAAACATCTCTAATTTATCTAAGGGAATACAAAGTATTAAAACACAATAAAATATACAACTTGATAGTTACAGATTTTTTATTTAAATATTTTCCATCAAAATATAAAAAATAAATAATATCAAATTGTGTGGATTAAATGACAAACCACACAGATGCTTACCAGATGGAGTAGCATCCCTTTGCTGCAGCAGTGAAGAAAAGTTCAATTTCCATAAGAAAAAAATGCAGGTACTTCTTGAAAACATTTGTATGTCCTTGACAAACAATTGTGGGGATGTTTGATTAAGATTATTATTATTATTATTATTATTATTATTATTATTATTATTATTATTATTATTATTATTATTATTATTATTATTATTATTATTATTATTATTATTCAATAAGGATTGATTTTCAAAAAAAAATTTAATATGTGTATAAAATATTTGCAGGAGTAAAAGTCTGAAGAATAAAGGTAAAGTCACTTATACAGAAAGTCTGGAAAGGGGAAATATTAAAAAGATTTTTTTTTATTGCCAGAGATGTACCATGTGTAATTTTTTTCTTTGCTGTATATTTTCATTGGATAATCATTTATACCAACTATAGAAATGGTGTAAGAATTGTTATTTACCCATTTTATCTGAGTAAAACATACACACTATTGCTAAATGCACAGATCCAAATCTGTCATCACAACAAAAAGCAGAAGTTTGTTTGAACTTGTGCCATATTTATCTGCTGATAGGCCTCTGATTTATGATAAACCAATTTGCCACAAGTACTTGCTTATAAGTTGAGTTTGAATTCAAAATGGACCTTGACATGCCATTGCATAATGCATCAGTGGTATCAGGGTCTCTGCAGGATTCTATGGATTACTCTTAATGAACTGCATATATCCAGATCTACCCGCACATTATGCAATGATGGATCTAGTTCAATTAATTTTGCAATTGTATCTGACTGAAAGGTGAGAATATCCAGTTTACAAAATGTTAGTGGAAATGTTAGCAGGCATTTAAAACATATTTTTGTCTGAAAATAAACACATTCCCTGCTTTTTATCAGATTAGGTTGGCACCCAGCTCTTATTATGGGAAAAAACTGTAAGTAGAATGAAAGACTTGGATCTGTGTTGTTTGTGTAGTTTGTTTTATGATTATCAGGCAAATATAATAGCTTGCTATTTCTCAGCCAGTTCTTCATCATGCAAATCTAACATTAAATTACACTGTATTTTGAGTTCCAGACATTTTTATTTGATTATTGTTTGCTGGTTTGTAAGCATAAGAGCCACTTATAGGAAGTTTTAGACATTTTATTTGTCTGGTAAGGTCCATTTATTGCAAGTTTTATTTATCAGGTTGGCCCAATTTTTGGTTTGTCCAGTCCACTTATTACAGGTTTCAGAGCTTTTAGTTGTGGAGTTGGCAACAGTTTGGTTTTGTAAAATCATAATGTAGGGATTTTTTATCCTGATTCTTGGATTGGCTTTTGTTGACTTGACTTGTTCATTGCTGCCTTGAGCAGTCTGTAACTCCATTGTCAAGGAGTAACATATATAATTGTTGCTGTAGGGTTTAATGAATTTTTCAGCACAAGATAGGCTATGCATGGTGGCCAGTTTAAATGGAGGAGGAAGAACCTGGGAAAACCCCAGAAAGAACCACCAACACATCAGAGCTACTGGCAAGCTTTCTCACATATCCACATTGGCCAAGCCCAAGATTTAAACCCATGCAGACAGGGGTGGGATGGCAAATGATCCATAATGGTGACCACTGAGAAGCTCCAGTACTGTATGTAACTCAATTATATGCAAGATGCAACTGCAAACTGCACTGACTCAGATCTGTCATCACATAATGTGCCAGCAGATTTGGGTCTGTGCAGTCTTTTTTTGACAAACAACACAGACATGATCTGCTGGTGCATTATACAATTGCAGATCTGGTTCTGTATTCTTTGTATTTGAACCTGAATTTTACACAAGCATAGATGGTACTTAATAGAGAAAATATTTGCTCATGGTTTGGAATTCTCCTTTGAATTTGATGTTTTGTATCATTTTGGCTTTGTCCATACCTAAGGGTCTTGTATCATATTGGTTATCTTCATGTCTAAATGTCTTGTATCATTTTGGCTTTGTCAATACCTAAATGTCTTGTATCATTTGGTTTTATCCATACCTAAAGGTCTTGTATCATGTTGGTTATCTCCATGTCTAAAGGTCTTGTATCATTTTAGTTTTGTCCATACTTAAAGATCTTGTATCATTTTGGCTTTGCCAATACCTAAATGTCTTGTATCATTTGGTTTTATCCATATCATTTGGTTTTATCCATACCTAAAGATCTTGTATCATGTTGGTTATCTCCATGTCTGAAGATCTTGTATCATTTTAGTTTTGTCCATACTTAAAGATCTTGTATCATTTTGGTTTTGTCAATACCTAAATGTCTTGTTTCATTTTGGCTTTATCCATACCTAAAGGTCTTGATATTGGTATACAATGTTCTTGGTGCCCCAGGTGGCAGAGTGGTTTATGGCATTCTCTTTGGCCTATCAATGACATTTCACTTCTGTCAGAGTGGGTTCAAGTCTTGAGTTCATGCAATGTGTTAGAAAGCTTGCCAGTAGCTTCTATTGGTCAATCTACCCATGGTTTTTCCGGGCTTTTTCTCCACCTGATTTACTGTATAGCTTATTACATGCTGAAAAATGGTGTTTAAACCCACAACAAAAAGGACAACATATAATATTTTGGGATAAGACCCAAATTAACAAAGTTGTTAATATGATGGCCAACATTCAGTAAATAGCATATGTGATAGATTTTACAGGTCTTACTCTTCATGAGAATTATAAATCATGCTCCATATTGCCAAAGGCAACTGTTTGATCAGTCAGTATGTTGTTGGGTAAGATGTAGAGTCAAGTCAAGTTTAATGCTTTCTGAGGTACATTTTTTCTTCTCCATTTAAATCAAATAGAAGAATATGATATCAGTCATATTGTTTGGCTCAGCATTATGTACCTAGAATCTCACTTGAGTCACATTGACTTAACTGCATGTCTTGCATCTTAACTCAATCACACATGCATTGAATCTCATTTGAATAACAGCAACTCAGTAATATGCCTTGAATCTTAATTCAATCACAGTGACTCTAGCATGCCTTGAATCTCACTTGAGTCAAAGTGACTTAGTAGCATGCCATTAATCTCAGTTGAATCACTGTGACTCAGTAGCATGCTTGCATCTAAGTTGAATCACAGTGACTCAATAGCATTCTTTTAATCTCATTTGACTCACAGTGACTCTAGCATGCCTTTGATCTCAGTTGAATCAGTGACTGTAGTATGCTTTAAGTCTCAGTTGAAGCAAACTTACTCAGTAGCATACCTAAAATCTATGTTGAATCACAGTGATTCAGTAGCATTGAATCTGTATCATGCCTTGAATCTCAATTGAGTCAAAGTGACTCATTAGCATGGTTTGAATCTCAGTTGAATCACAGTGACTCTGTAGAATGCCTTGAATCTTAGTTGAATCACAGTGACTCACTAGCAAGCCAAATAGAATTATGACCATAAGGGTACAAGTTTGAGTCCTGCTCAAACCAGGCTGGGCCTGAGCTGCCTTGGTGCCCATGGGCAAGGCACTTTACTCCAGTTCCCCTGATATTTTGTAACTTCTCATGTTTTAGTTTGCCGTTAAGCACAAAATTATTTTATATCTCAGTATCCTAGAATCGAATTCCTTCAGGCCTGGAGGGTTTCAAACTTTAATGCAATAATTAATGCACAAGTCTTATGCTGATGTAGTGAAAAATGGCATTCCTTTTGTTCTCTTTATTTTATTGACGCTTTATAAAGATTAAGGATCTAAGACTAAGATTCATAAAGATTTCCTAATTAATTCTAATCTAGAAGAAAAAAATCAAATTTAATGGATTTAGATGTTTACAACTTTTTCATTACTGTAATAAAAATACTTCTTTCAATAGTTACATAAAAAAGAAACATTTAGGATGCATTATGAAACTACTTGTGTAACATCAAATGTTATTTATTGATTGCATGTAAATGTTGTGGCATACAATATTGTGGAAAAACTAGTCAACAAATATTGAAAAGCATGAGCCAACATAGACAATGCATACAAAAATCATATTCCTCTATCTTTTTCATCTCATTTCACCTCATATTTTAATGACAGTTCCTATACTTTGCAAGATTTTTCATTTCATTTCAGGCTGTTTGATATAGTTGATTCTGAGATAGAACTTTTTTTAAAAGAAACCTGCTGAATGCATCATCTTAATTTGTGTGTGTGTGTGTTATTTGGATTGTTAATGTAACTTTAAAAAATTTTCAGTCATATCGCTACAATGCCTGCAGTGTAGCAGTTAATAGTGATGTCTAGCACTTAGGCATCATGCCGCAGACATGTAGCATGATGTCCCACCCAGTCACACTATCCTGACACCAGGCTGACCAGTCCTAACACTAACCTCTCAATGCTGAGTTCCTAGTGAGGCAGCTGCTGGTACTAATTTTATAAGGCTTTGTTATAACTCAGCCAGGGTTCAAACCTGCAACCTCCCACACCAAAGGCAGATGCTCTAACCACTAGGTCACTAGATTCACGCTCTTAACAGAATATATCCAAATGGTCTAAATTAAATTCATTCATTTTAAAAAAAATATAAATTTGGCTTTTTTATTATTATCACCAAATTATCTGCATAATACTTATAGTAAGACAAATAAATAGGTATTTTATATTAAAAAATAATTATAATGTACAATAAATGTTTTTCATAACATCCTTTGCTTTTAAATGTATTAGTAAAAATATTGTTATGATATTAGTTCTATCACTTTTTCATTGTTTTGGATTCATTTGATAAATTAGAATAATACTGAATTATTCTTAAATAATCATCCAAGAGAATGAAATTCAAATTTCACTCATTAAATTAACAGTTTAAAGAACATAAAATATTTTTTGAAATTTTTTTAAAAAAAAAAACTGCCAAATTTTAAATATACATGTAATGTACAATCTTCTACATTTTACCAAGTTAAAATATATTATAAATAATACAACATACATAAAAAAGATATCAATAATACAGTTTATCTCTATTTATTCATAAAATTCAAATATGGTTATTAACAGAGATATTTTTATCTTTATGATCCAGTTTTATGTATTTTTATATATTAAAATTGGGATAAAAAAAAGCAACACAAATGCCAAAAATTCTGTGCAACTAGTTTTGCATTTAATACATGCTTCTTCAGGCACAAAATGTTTTGAAAGAAACAGATGACGTCTTTATATTTAAAAATAACAATTATGTCATTATGTAACATCATAAATAAAATGCATCATCATACCAATTATGTATATGACAGAATCTGAAAGATACATGAGTCTCAAATGAAACCTGAATCAGTAAAATAATAAAATAAAATAGAGACAAACAGTTATACATACAGTTATATTGTTATAGAGGATATACAATTTAACAAGTTAAAAGAAAATTATACAATTTTATATAATACATTGGTATTAAGGCCATTAGGATACAAAGTATCTAATTTATGAATCCAATAAGTTTCTTTTATGAGTATATTCATGTCTCCATGCACAATATCTATTGGCGTGAAAGAAACATTGAGTAAACCATGATTATTGATATTAATATGTATAGAAATAATAGAGGAAAACTGAGGATCTTTATAATTTTTAATATGAAAGCAATGATTATTCATTCTCTTAGAAACTTGTTGAAGTGTTTGTCCAATATATTGCATATTACATTTTTACAGGTTATCAAATAAATCACGTCAGTTCATATGCAGTTAGTGTTATAACATACAGAAAATGTCTCTTTTGTATTAGCACTACTGAAACTAGTACTTTCTCTTATGTTTGCACATTGAGAGCACTGGTGTCTATTACATTTAGATGACACGAACTGTCTTTTTTATTTTCTGCCTGTTTAGTTTTAATTAAAAAGTCTTGCAAAATGTATGTATTAAAATTTAATTTATCCATACTGTATATGCATTTTTCCATGTCATTTATTAATTTAAGATTATAGCAATTATATATGATAACAATTTTAATGTATGATGCCACCTTGTTTAGGTCATGTTGTTTATTTAATTTATTGCTTAAAAATGGAACATATTTAATGATGTAAACTATCATATTTAATTCAGTCTGAAGAATCAATAAAGCGAAACTGGTCACATATTCTACATGTTGGTGTTGTTTATTTTAATATTTATTTTATTCAAGGAGATGTACTCCAACTTAAACTGAAACATGCTGTATCTAGGTATTCTTTGAGACAAGTCCTTCAAAATGCTGCCTGGAATACATCAAAGCTACCATTGTTTTGGATATGTTTCGACTAAGTGTAATTAAACTAAGTAACAGACAAATCAAAATCAACAAGTTGAGCAAATTTCAACAAGTAATGTATATCTCTGGAATACAGAATTAAAATTTAAAAGTAATTTAACTATCACAGAATAAGGCTATAAATAACTTTTGCCTTGAATCTATTTTCCACCTTTATTCATTGTGCAGGCATATCATACACCGTTACCTGAGATGAATCACTTTTCTCCAGGCAAAGTGATTTTGAAATTACATGTGGCGAAAAGTCACAAAGCATGGTATACACAAGCATTTGACCAAAATTTTTATTCACTTCTTTGGATTTAAGCTAGATATATTTTGTACTGAGACACATTTGGATTTTGTCAGTGGTGGGCATACTTTCCACCATTGTCTCAGGTCATAGGGGTAAGTGTCAAAGTTTTGTTTTTTTTGATTTGTGAAACCTTTTCTCGGTTTTATGTTATGACGGGTGATGAAGCTTTGTTACACTGCGTGCTTTGTTAATACCATTTTAGTAATAAATAGTTTGGTTTTGTTTTAGCCTATTGGACACTATTGACCATTATGGGAGCTATTGGACATTATGGTAGTTATTGACCATTATGGGAACTATTGGATATTATGTGAGTTATTGGACATTATGGGACATTATTGGAGCTTGTTGGACATTACTAAGGCTGACGATGTTTTATTAGGACTAATGGTGTCTTATTGGAGCTGACGATGTCTTATGGGATATTCAGTGTCCAATAAGAGCTGATTGTAGCTATCCATGTTTGGATGTAGCTATCTGTAATGTGGCAGGCTGTCTATGTGAATGAATACATGTATGTATTTGAATGAATGTAACATGTAAGGGATCTATGAAGTATATGAGTGTGGATCAATAAAAAGGGATCTGATGAAACTGCAGAGTTCAAGTTTGTATATTGAATAAACTGTAGAGTAACAGTTTATACAGTGAATAACTATCCCAGTTTACAGTGCTGTGTATTCATCTGTTTGTGTATTTAGTTTAACACAATATTTTTAATCGAAACAACAATAATAACATTATATGAGTATTGCTCAATTTCTTTTATCTGTTGTATCTCAAGAGATTACATGAATCTCAAAGCTTAATATATTACAAGAGATCACATAAATCTCATTTTACATAATACAAGGTATATTTGTACCTCTAATTTTAGGCTAGAAGCCAATGAATCATAATTTTGTCATTTATTTTCTTTATCATTTCATGAGTGTGTAGGGTTATTTGGATCAATTCTGTGTGAGAATCAGGGTATTTATTTTGTATTCACACACACACACACACACACACACACACACACACACACACACATATATATATATATATATATATATATATATATATATATATATATATATATATATATATATATATATATATATATATATGTGTGTGCGTATATGTATATATATATATATGTGTGTGTGTGTGTGTGTGTGCATGTGTGTGTGTATATATATATATATATATATATATATATATATATATATATATATATATATATATATATATATATATATATATATATATATATATATATATATGTCTAGTATTTCATTTTATAAATTCCAATCATTCATCACTTTGTGCATGTTGTTATTCATTTAGTCCAAATGGAGAAATCCTGCTCGGTTTCAATTCTTCTACATTAACAGTACTATGGAACAAATCCCAAATTATCCACAAATCCAGAAGTATAGTGTTCCAAATGAATCCCAGTATTGAATATGCTGATGTGTCAGTAATCATGATGCATTTCAATGATATAATCAAGAATGACCTTGAATGAATTCACAATAATCCCAAAGTAATGATATAGTCTAAAATGTAAATGACCATTTTGTAATTCCACTGAATAAATTTTAAATAAATAATTCTTCTCTAATTATATCTGAAAACAACTAACAGTGATTCCAATGGACTGATGTTAAACTGGGAATAATTAATTTTGTTCACCATTAACTTTGTTAAGACCAGGAAGTGGGTCTTTGTTCTCATCAAATTCACAAACAAGTTCTCTTTCTTGAACCTTCTGATGTCACAAGGCCATATAAAATATGTTTACAAATATTATTTTATGGTTCAACCCACAATTATGGAGAAAAGTTAGCTATGTAATAAGTTATTCACAAATGACCCTTAGAATGTACAGTCATGAACAAAACTTATGGCTATAATAAATATATGTTAAAAATCTCACATTCCTAAAATAGTTTGAATTCAGTACAGGTTTCTGTTCAAAGTTCCATCTGTCCTAGAACTTTTTATGCAATTGTAACTTTAAATAGTATTCTTAAATTGTGATCATAAGTGACCAACTTAAGCAGAAAGTAGAACTGTATGGTCCACACAGTCTTGTGTTAAGTCAATAGTCTCTAATTGTGACAATAATTGACTGAATTAAGTAGAAATGTATGGCTCTTGCTGTCATAAATAGCCAGTATTCTCATGGTGTGACTTTCTCAAGTGATGAACTTGAGTACAACTGTATGGTCCATGCAGTGTTTCTCTATTCCTTTGGGTTATGATGCTTAAAACTCTAAATAGACATTTTCTGAATTATTTCTTTGGGGCCATACCCTACCAGCTTCAAAACTAGGGCAGTAACAACAACTCAGTGTAGTAACACAAACAGGGGAAAAACATATTATACCAGTTTCCTATTTCTTATATTAAATCAAAACTTTTAATTCAGACAGTTATCATCAGTGTTAATAAATGTTTATATTTTAACTGCAGATAAATATTATCTCACTTTTTATGAAACTGCAAATAATATAGTTGCTTAGCATTAATCTGTACACATTAATCTGTAAAGATCAAAACATTTGTAGGTGTGGAATGGAATTGGTTTTTGACCATTTTCAGTAAAGAAAATATTTTCAAAAATTGTAAACATAACATTTAAATATGACTTAAGGTTATTATTTCATGTGGTCTCTGATCATTTACAGAGACAATGATCATTAACAGATACAATGATCATTAACAGAGATGATCATTAACAGAGTTTGATACCATGAACAGAGAGGATGATCATGAATGGAGAGAATGATCATTAACAGAGACAATAATCATTAACAGAGAAATTTATAATTAACAGAGACAGAGACAATGATCCTTAACAGAGAGGATGATCATTAACAAAGATGATAAAATGCATTTGCCAGCAATTTAGGTAAAGGATCCTGAAAATACAAAAATAATTGTAAAAATTAAAATCATTTATATCCATTTAGATAAGAAATATATCTGTCATTGTGTGCTTAGAGAAAACACAAATGACCTATTACCTATCAAAATGCAAGGCTAAAAACACAATTTGTTCATTTGCACAATGCAGGCTACTGATTGATAACCAAGGCTAACATATTAATCAGGTAGGGGCATGATTCTTGGTATTATGGAAATTATATGTTGAGCATATATTCAAAACTGAAATATGTTAATGCCCAGTGATATCAAAAAATGTAGCAAGAGCCAAGCAGTCTTCATTTTAACTTGATTAGTATCCTCTACAACATGGTATAAGTCATATTAATATGACTCGGTATCACATCATAAATTGGATCCCACTGTAATTGACTTGATGATGAAGACTATGCATATGTGCCCCATCTGAATGTCACTTTGTCCCATTATCTTCGTGCAAACTAGGTCCTGAACATTTTTAAATAGTCAGGTTTATTGATGCTAATATGTTAGTACATATCAAAGTCTATGATGTTTGCATTTGGACACAATTTATATACAAGAATATATGGTAAATAACGAGTTTTTAAACTATAGAACTAAATAATATCTGAAAGAAGTTATTCCATGTAAGGAAATTTCTACTGTTGTTATCAATGAAAAGATGACATATGGTAATATTGTAAACAAATTTAATTATTTCTTGTGGCGAGTACTTCCTGAAGTGTCATAAGATTCTGTCTGATGTTAAAATGGGAGTCAGGACAGGCAACCCCATCTTGTAAATAATGTGTAAGCAATGAGTTGAACTCTTCTTCCTCTTCTACCCTTCCACATACATTACATATTCTATCCTTGCATGCTGGCCTAAGTAGTTAGAGTGTCTGCCTCTGATGCAGGAAGTTGTGGGTTTGAACCCCAGTCATGTCATAAAATAAAACTTATAAAAATTGTACCTACCTCATTTGGTAAGTTTTAGAACTGGTCAGTCATGTCAGTATAATGTGACTAGGTGGGCATGCTTCTTGTATGTACAAATTATTCATTGTTTTTACAATACTGGATTTGGTTGATCTGCAGTGACTGATAAAGTCTTGGTTATAAAAAAAGATGTCAATGAACAGATATCAAACATATCTCAATGCAAGAAACTTATTTATAAGAATCATTTGAATTGTTATTCATGATTTTTTTATACAGTTTTAAAAGTTATATATTTTTGTTTTTATTATTGAAATCCATAACCAGAACATAGCAGACCTACTGTCAATTGTTTTTTTTCCTCCTCACTTCATACATGTACAATAAATTCAGTCCGTTATTTCTTTATAATATTTCCTGCCATAAACACACTGCATTTGCTACATTCTCCAAACTTAATGATGCTATCTATTGTAATTTATATTACTCTGGTAAAACAATTTTCAAAGATGTTGGACATAAAAATGAGATTGAATGATGCATTTATTTGAAAGCAGTGAAAAATGTCATTCATACATATCCTATTAGACACCACTAATTCTGTGAAGTTTTAGTGGAGATTTAATTTGACAAGGGTTGGAAGGATTGCCATATATACTTCTTCATAAGTCATTGTGTGTGTGTGTGTGTGTGTGTGTGTGTGTGTGTGTGTGTGTGTGTGTTACATAGATTTTACAATCTGAGTCATATCTGTTTGCAGTGTGGCAGTTTATAGTGATGTCTTGCACAATGACATCATGCCACCAACATGTGGCATCATGTCCCACACCTAGTCATATTATCCTGACACCAGGCTGACCAGTGACCAGTACTAACACTAACCACATAATGCTAATCACCAAGCAAGGCATAGCTGCTTAGGATCATTTTTACAAGTCTTTGTATATTTGTTTGCTTTATGTCAGAATCTATATGTGATTTCTATACATGACTATTGCACATGATCAAATTTTTAATTTGTATTCACTATAATACATTTCATTAAGTCAGATATAAATATTATACATATCTGTTAGCTGTAGATAAAATGTATTATGTGAAATCATGCATGTGATGTAAATAGATTTATTAGCCATATATAATTGTATATCTCAATCAGCTCTAGATAACAGCATATCTCAATTAATTGTAAATTATAGTATATTTCAATAAATAACAGTTTATCTCAAATTAGCTGTTGATAATAGTATATTTAAATATATAGCAGTATATCTTAGCTGCAAATAATATAGTATTTCAATCAACTACAGATAAAAGTATATCTCAATTACCTGTAAGTAATAATGTATCTCAGCTGTAAATAATAGCATATTTCATTCAGCTATCGATAACAGTATCTCAGTAAACTGTAAATAACCACATAGCACTTAACTATAGACAACAACATATCTCAATTAGCTGTAGATAACAGTATATCTCAATTAGCTGCAAGTAATAACATATCTCAGCTAGCTGTAAATAACAGTATATTTCATTCAGCTATAGAAAACATCATATTTCAGTAAGCTGTAAATAACTAGATCTCAGTTAATTGTAGATAATATATCTCCGTTACCTGTAGATAACAGTATATCTCGACTACCTGAAGATAATAGGATATTTTATCTATAGATAACAGTATATCTCAATTAACTGTAGATAAAATTATATCTCAGTAAAATTAATGGCAGTCCATTAAAATGTACAGTGATTCACTCATTATATATTAATACACCAATATCTAGCTTTCTTGCATGGTATAGAACCATTGTCATAATTTTATTTATACATAGTTTGCTTAGAACATGGTGTATCTTCTATTATTCATTATTCTATGCTGGTATTTGGAGTGAGTGTGAATTATGCATTCTTTATATCTGCCAATATTTATTAGTGTGCTAGTCCGTGTAACTTATAATTCACATTGCATGTATCTGTGAGTGATTCTATTTTAATATTGCACATGGTAATATTCTTAATGGTGTATGTCCAATTCAAAATTTCTTTCTGACTAAACTTAACACTGTTAAATTTAATACTGGTAAAACATTTAACTTCTTGTAAGTTACAGTGTAGCCCAGTGAAAGTTGCATGTACACTGCTAGCATGATGCAACTTCAGTAATGTCCCATTAGAGGGTGCTGTGATATATGACTGAAAACAATGACTGTGGGTCCAGTACACATTCTGATTATGGGGAAGTGATCTTATAGATTCACTCCTGCATATCTTATCAGCAACATAGAATTTAATTAATAATTGGACAAGTGCATTTTTCTTCCACACCTTCCTGTACAGGTGAAGAAACAATTTTTCTCTTTCACCTTTCTTTAATATCTCCAGCACATCTGTTTCTTGGGTTTTATTATTTTTTTCTTTGAGTTTTGCCATATTATTCATGTTTTAAATTGATAATCACAGTACAAAGTAGTAATCATGCAAATTTAAAGCAAAGAAGGCTTTAATTTAAAGAAAGTTTAACAGTCTTTGCAACTGCTTTCAAGTGATAAATCTAGCTTTCAATATTTCTGTCCCTCTCTCTCCCCTATCTCTCCCTCTCTCTTGTATTTATAAATTGTGACATTTTAGTATACATGTATAAATTCAGTGAAATGTATTAGGAAGATAGATCCCTGCTGAAATAAATGGTTACCATGACAACAGTACTGATCAAAAGTATTCAGTGCATTGTTTGGTCAGGAACTTACAACATCAGTCATATTGTTTGGCTCAGCATTATGTACCTAAAAACTCACTTGAGTGACATTGAATTAACTGCATGCCTTAACTCAATCACAGTGACTGTAGCATGCCTTGAATCTCAGTTGAATAATGTGTTGGCATTGCAAAACAACCATAAAACTCAATGCACTCCTTGACTCAGAATCACCCATGTGTAATCAAACATTCCATTAAAAATGTGTAACCACAGTCCATTAAAAACATGTGTAGTGAAACAGTCCATTGAAAACACATGTAACCAAACAGTCCATTAAAAACAAGTGTAACCAAATAGTGCATTGAAAATTTGTGGGACTAATTCCATGGAAAACTTCACAAGAGGGCACTTGTGAAATATTTTTTCAAAGATAATTGGGAAACTCAATGAAATGATGTTTAATCAAGTTTTAAGAATGAATTAACACTAAATATTGTTTATATGCTTTTCAATCTTGGCTCACAGTTATACAAACATAAAAAATAAATAAATATTATTTCTTACTCTACTTTGAAAACGTTTTCTATTTAAAAAATGCACTTAGCAAGACATTTATTTTGAAAATATACATTGACAAATTATTATTGATTTGCTAAAGAAGTTCATGTTTCAAATTCATGACTTCACAAAGTAGTTTACATAAACAAAACATGAAATATGCTGTCTCCTTCATTTCACTGAGACATATGTTGGTCCTGAATATTTCACACAAGGTGACAGATTAAAAAACAACAACAATATTTTGAACTATAACAACTTATCAAAAATATATCAGCCAACTAAAACACAATTTTTCAGTTTTAACTGCAGTTAACAAAATCTGTTTGAAGCAATTAAAAATGTCAGTAAAATTTTAAAAAAACTAATACATACTGTAACCTCATCGGTCTGGAAAATTACTCGGGATTTTCAGCTTTCTCTTCCAGACCCAGAAGCTACAAGGGGTTCATCTGACTCTAGCAATAAAGATAAACAGCAAAAAAATATATTAGAAATTCAGGACAGATTTATTCATTAATTTCTCATCTGTGAAAAAGAACTACACCCATTTACCAGTTTACAGATTCACTTTTTACGTTCAGAATTGTACCAATAGATAGAACCATAGTGGAAATATCTCAATTATCTAAAATAAGTTCATAATTTACTAAACACTAAGCATGATTGTTAAAAATCTAATGTGGGCAAATTATGTTACTTGAAATCAGAAGTTATGATTTTTGGCATCTAAATTTGGGTTCCGAAATTCGTGTATAGAAAATTCGTCTGCTTATGAGAACTTGCATTGTTGAAAGTCTAAGTTTCAAATTATTCTTCAAAATTTCATATATGACATTTTCTATTTCCAAAAGTTACCTCTCTCATTTTTATCCCTGTTTTTAACTTTTTCTCTCAATATCTAAGGTTCAATCTAGATTAGTCTCTTCCACTACTTTATTTCTGTCTTCACTTTTCTCCTCTTCCCCCTATCTGTCACCTGCTTTACCATTATAGCACCTGTAAGTATTCTGGTAAACAAAGCATGGATTGGTGGGTATTGCAATCAATCGGCCAATCCAAATTGATCATGTTGTTGGAACCTGACTTCTCCATAGAAATACACACACAACTCCGTGCTTCAATTCTTCAGTCATGAGAAACATACCCAAATATAAAATTCTCATCTTTGAATGTTTGTGCAGGTAATTTAATTTTAAAATCTTGTATTGTTGTACAAAATACGCGAGCGGGTAATGTGTTGTGACTAAAATCAGCTGATCGGAGGATACAGCAGCATAGCAACACATTTAGTTTCAAGGAGTCTGGGTTTCTGCATAATCAATGAAATAGCAACAAGTAGAACTTTCTCAGTTCGGTAGATTCATATACATTTGCTTACACACACACACACACACAACCACACACACACACACACACACGCACACACACACAGAGACTTGAACAAAAACACATGCACATACACACATGCACATTCTTGTATTTTGTGAATATCAAGGACTCAATAATGGAACCATGTACTTAGGACATTAGTTCTAGCAATCTTAGAGTGAAAAGAAATACAATCTGAGGCAGTAAATTTATAGCAAAGGATGATGTATCAAGGAAAAAACTGTATTATGAATTCTAAGGACTACGAAATTTCGCAATGCAAGTGAGGATGTACATGTTCACAGAAATATTCTATATAATCCATGCAAACTAAGGACACACATAACTATTGACCACAATGTGGGAACTGTAGACAATGTGA